TACATCCCATTCCCCTTAGTCAAAACTGTTTTAGCTTCCTTGCTTCCTTGTATTATTTTGAAATTGTTGTTACGTGTTCAAAAGGGTTATATTGTAGATCTAACTCCTACCTCTACCATACTTTAGACAGTTTGAACATGTATGTAGGCATATGGCCTGATACGTGTTTGTTTATAGTTTCCATGTGTACCATTTGATTCTCTGAACCTGGCTTACTTCTTTAAGTATTATTTTTCCTGGTCCATCCACATTCCTGTAAATGACAGTATATTATTCTTCCTGATGGATGATTACAACCCAATGTGTGTGTGTGTGTGTGTGTGTGTGTGTGTGTGTGTGTGTGTGTGTGTGTGCATGTATATTTCTAATATTTCATTGATCCATTCATTGGTTTGTAGAGCATATAGGCTGTTTCCATGACAGGCTATTGTGAATAGTTCAACAAATGAACATGGGTGTGCAGGTACCTTCACTCTATCCTAACATGCATAATTTCTCAACTGTGGTATCACTGGATCATAGAGTAGTTCTATTTTTAGATTTTTGAGGAATCACCATAATAACTTCCATAATAATTGCACTAAGTTACATTCCCGTCAGCAGTATATTAGGATTTATGCAAATCAAAACAACATTGAGGTTCTACCTCAATCCAGTCAGAATTGCAACCACCAAAAATACAAACAACAAATGCTGGTGAGGATGCCAGAAAAAGTAATGGATTGCTTGTGGGAATGTGAACTGCTTTTTTAACCCTCACTCCTCATAAGTCATGAGCACTGGGCTTATGGTACTCTGATTGTGCTATAAACTCAAGTTTGCATCTCACTAAATTCAATTCCTTAATCTCACTCCAACAATAAGAGCAAGTGTTTAGTTAGCTTGAGAGAATGTTGTTGAAGTAAGTAATCAGCAGCAAGTTTAGTAAAGGTTGATAGGTTATTTATTGTTACACAACTTAACAATTCATCTGCCTAATCAATACTTAAGAATTAAATGGAGATAAGTAATTTCATTTTACTTAAAATCTATATTTATTTTAGGAACTATCTCCTGGTATGCTTACCCACTGAAAGGTGTTGGGGTGCTTTCCCGTGACTTTGATCTAAATGAAAAGGAAAATAACATTTTTAGGTTGGCACAATACAATCTACCAAAGTTATGTTTTTTATGACAATTTCTCCATCTTTCTCTTCAAAGTTTAAAAATAGCCAGCAAAATGTCTAATTATCTTTTGCTAATTGTTGTTACCAAAATTGAAAATTCTTGGACCTTTTGTCTACTTTATATCGACAAATTCCTTACTTCTAATCTACCAAGTAAAATAATGAGAGAGAAAAAGAATGGACTGAAGACAAATTGAGATTAACTACATCAATGTTACCACCAAAGTCTATCACTGATCTAATGACAGACTTCTTCTCCTTTATTCCCTTTCTCTCCTTTACTCTAGTTTTTTTTTAACCAATCAACTTCCTCTTTAACCATACCTTCAGCCACACCTTATTTTGGGACATATCATTCAATGCTTGGTAAGAAATGTACACATTATCCTGCCCATGTAACTGTAACTCCTCTGTACAGTATGTTCACAAATAAAATTAAATTAAATTAAAAAAAAAAAAGAAAAGGTTATGAAAATGGTTTGAATATCAAGGCATAAGCAATGTCTTCAAAATCTAGATCCCTGTAGACAATTCAGTTAGCTTGGTGTATAATGATTAAACTTCTCACATATTCCAAAACAGATCAGGAAGTACAGGCAAGTTCCATCTTGGCCTCCAGTTGTTGAACCAATTGTTTGTCCACATGGTGATACAACAAAGGAAGAAGATTGCTGGGAAATCCACTTTTTTAATCTTCAAAACTTACTGTTGGTTTATCCTCCTACTCTGACCAAAAAATATTCCCTATTGCATAGAGTTAATTCTCCTCCAGCCAATAAAAACATGTATAACATGTACATTTAGAGAGAGAGAGAGAAAAGAGACATATAGAGATACATAAGAGACTATTGTCATTTATACCCATAATATCCTTACTTTAAAAAAATTGTTTCAGTGTATTCACCCAAAGAGTCCAATGTCTCTCATTCCAAAAAATAAACACAAAAACATAAAGGGAAAATGACTTCTGTTCTTATATTGTAGTTCTAAGAAAACACAATAGTTGTTGTAACAGTTAAGCACAGAAACTATAGCTGATATCTTCTTAAAGTTTCAAAAATCAAAAAATTCTTTTCTGACAAATCTTAGACAAAGGGCTAGATTACACATTCATGTTCCAAACTTTACTCTTCAAATAAAGTGGTGTTGTCCTGTAACACTACCCTCTCCTTTGCATCTGCCAAGTTGAAAGGCACTCCTAGAAAGGGCTATTTATGTGATTACAGGCAGGCTGAGAGGTAACATGGGGGAATTTGGGGAACAGCTCTAGCACTAATCATGTATGCAGATGTCAAGCTCAAGAATAATCCTCAAAAGTTTACATCATGGACAGAAAAAGGGAAAGCGGACAAATATAGTCATACTACTCCATGTGCATATGTGAAAATGGAACAAGGCAATTTGATGAGATTAATGTGGAAAGGTGGAAGAGTTGGGAGAAAAATGAAGGAAAAGTTGACTCTGATGATTATTCACTATCTTAAATGGACATTTCTCATTGACACTAAGAAAAATAAGAATTTTTAAAGTTTCAGAGAGTAGTCAATTCAATAAAAAGAACTTATTGAGCATTCATTCTTGATGGTGCTGCCTATAAATGGTCATGAACAAAATAAGCATGGCCATGAAGTTGCAGAGCTTCTGCATGGCAAAGGACATAGCTAGCAAGATCAATAGAAAGCCCATGCATTGGGAGAAGATCTTCACTAGCCATACAACAGACAAGGGTCTCATATCTAAAATATACTTGGAACTCAAAAAATTAAATCCCCCAACAACAAATCCTCAAAGAAACAAGTGCCCAATAAATAAGTGGGCTAAAGTCTTAAAGAGAAACTTCTCTGAAGAAGAAAGAAGGATGGCCAATAGACACATGAAGAAATGCTCAACATCCCTAGCCATAAAAGAAATGCAAATCAAAACAACATTGAGATACCACCTCACTCCAGTTAGAATGGCAAAAATCAAGAACTCTAACAACAACAGATGCTGGAGGGGATGTGGACAGAAGGGAACCTTACTTCATTGTTGGTAGGAATGTAAACTTGTTCAACCACTTTGGAAAGCAGTATGGAGGTTCCTCAAAAGACTTCACATAGAGCTCTCCTATGACCCAGCAATCCCACTTTTGGGCATTTATCCAAATGTTTACAAACAAGACCACACTAAAGCTACCAGCACAACTATGTTTATTGCAGCATTATTTACCATAGCTAAGATATGGAACCAACCCAGATGCCCCTCAGTAGATGAATGGATCAAGAAAATGTGGTATATATACTCAATGGAATTCTATGCCTCCATCAGAAAGAATGACATTGCTCCATTTGTTAGGAAATGGAAAAACTTGGAAAAAATAATATATTAAGTGAAGTAAGCCAGGCCCAAAGAAACATAGGTCCCATGGTTTCCCTTATTTGCAATATCTAGTATATGTATGAGTCAAGCGGAAAAGGTCAGATAATGTGATGTTAGGAAAATGAACACTTAGATATGTATTTTAATGTTTTCTTCTTTCATGCATTTGTTTCTAACGCATTTATAAGATTATTTCTTTGTTGCTTTGTATGTCCCTCCCCCACAGTATAACCCCTGCTTTCACTATATTTGATGTCAGTATAACTTGTGGAGGAGATGGGGAAAAACAAGTCGTTTAAGGATACAGGTGGACCTGTTGCAACAATGAGAAGTACAAGTTGTCATGTCGAAAACGAGCTTTACAACGTTGGTGGTGGGGGGAGGATTGGGTGAGGGGGTGAGGGGGGGAGGCTGGGAAGGGATGGGAAGGGTAAACAAAGGAGGAGGCTGCAATGCTTGATAAGAAATGTACTCATTATCCTGCCCATGTAATTGTAACCCCTCTGTACAGTATGTTCACCAAAAAAATAAGAATATAAAATAAAATGAAAAAAAAAAAAAAGCATGGCCATTACCCACACACAATTTCAGAAGACAAATGAAAGTAAAGGTTCAGAGTGTGCCAAAGTCCACAGAATTGCAGTTTGGACACTCCATCTCCAATACTTTGGAGACAGCACCGCTGAGCAGAGATAACCAAAAACAATCTTTTTTTTGTTCTAGTTTGGAGGAAGTAACTTGCTAATGCCTGAAAGGGTGTCTACATAAGGAGACATCCAAAGATAATCTAGGTATAAAGGACAGAGAATCTCAGCGGCTTTCCTAGAGGATCACTTTCCTCAGGAAGAAAACTACATAATTTGGGGGGTAAAGCTAAGAAACATAGCTTATGGATATATACGCTATCCTGGAAGAGCAGTGAACACAATATGACTAAAAGAGGCCCCTTAAAGGAAGAAAGAGTAGACAACACAAGAAAAGAAAAACTCTAAGAGGACAAAAAGCATCAGATAACATTAGATAATACAGTCGTAAATGAGAAACTAAAAATATTAAAGGAACTCAAAAAGCCCTTATCACCATACTTATTAAGACAGTAGACTTTAATTATCTAAAATACTGTCTAATAAAGCTCCTTCTAACTTAATTCATAGATATAAATGCAATATCTACAAAGAAGTAATATTTTCCTTCATATAAAGCATGCAAAAATGTTCAAATCCTGAGTTCATTTTGCAGACTAAACATAAATACCTTCTCTCAGATTAGATTTCACTAGGATTTTAACAATATATCACAACAGTCAATTATATGACTCTAATTATCTGAAGAAAGATAAATTGTCTTTAGAATAGAAAATGTCACTATTAGTTTTTGCATAAAGCTTTATCTATTTTGTCTAGCTGCTAAAAAGATGTTGAGTCATATTATAATATATTCAATATATTTATTTAAAAGAAACATATCCTAGATTGTTTACCTGGTGGCATTTGCTGGGCTACTAGCTTCTGATGTGGATCTGAGTAAAAACAATATTAAATAGTTAGTATTAAGCTAATATTGTTTTGAGACTGAAAAATGGACCGTTTTATACCCAAAATACCCCCTTTAAACCCTTTAAACCCTTAGGCATGGAAATAAGTTGTATTCTTATTTACCTAGACTCTAAATCCAACCTAAAGCACCAAATTTTAATTCTCCAATAGAAAAAAAGAACCAAGATAGGAAACATCTTTTGTTTCTTAGGAATTCCAGATGGAAGCATATGGTAGAATATTTGCATAGTAATCAAAAGGCTTACTATTACACTCCTCAAAAACATTATCCTTGTGACTTTTAAACACAGAATATAAAAACTTGTCTCTAAAATCCTAAATTTGGTCTTCAAGGTGTATGGTACCTTTTGATTTGTTGATATATAAAGTGCTACATTTTGTAAATTAAAACTCACATTTACTTCGGGCAGCCTGTCAGATTGGACTGGCGGAACACTTTCCCTTTCTATTACACATATACCAAAGAGCTAGAAGTACACTAGCACAAAAGTCTAATATAAAATTGAGAATATCTAGCAGTGAAAAGTGAAGAAGCTCTTCAGAAAACAGGAACCAAAGCTAAAAACAAAGCTATATCCCCTAAGGTATGTGCTTTTAACAAATATAGCTTGGAAGAACTTTAAGGCTCAGACCTTTATATGATGGTCTTGAAGATAGATAAAAGCTATAACCACTGGTTCAGATCATAACAGGCAGATTACATGAGCAATGTGAATGGAAAAGATGAACGAGAACTTCAGAAAGATAGAAATATTTAACATCTCTACAGAGGTCAAGGCAGGAAATAGGCAAAGAAATGATCATTGTTAAAAAGACTGAGTGGTTAACAAACTGATGGGGGAACCAAACAATGACAGATCAATATAAAAGTATAATTATGAACTGTCCAGTAGGCTATAGAAAGGCCAACAATGAGAAAGTCCTCCTTAGAATAGTCATATCAGATGGAGAGGAAACAGAATGGGGAAGAGTCAATAACTGAAGAAAATATGAATGATATTTTTCCAGAATCAGTGAATCAAAATCTAATATTGAGTAATATTTAGACTCAAAGCTGGATAAAAATAAATTAGATGAAATCATACAACAATAAAATAAGACACATAGGATGACTTAGAAACCACCTAGAAAAATAAATGATTTTAATTAATGATTTCATGATTTAAGGAGGGAGCATATGGCATAACCAGATTGACAATCAGTGACAGTAATAAGTACTGTAAGACTTTCAAGCAAGTGACTTTCAACCTCCCAAATGCTCTGTAACCATCTAGCTATCATTCAAAAGTGAATGGGAGAAAAGTCATGTCCAGACAGTTAACACAAAAGGTTTGTAACACAGAGACATTATCTGAGGGCAAAAAGGTTGTACTACAGGGAAAAATGGACATTCAAATTAAATAAAAGTAAATGGATTCAACAATGAATAATGAGCAAAACAAGTGATACATATATATATATATATATATATATATATATATACATAAAGTCTTAACAACTTATTTAATTTAAAATGATAATAACAGTGACTAATGGAAAGTGTGTTCCTTTACATAAACACTTGGAAGAAGTTAAAAGCTAAACAACAATAATATGGAGATCAATGATTAGCATTTTCTGTTAAAAGACCTATTCCTTCTGATTTTCAGAGAAATACAGGCAATATTGACAGAACATAGACATTTTAAAAAATCACTTCTGCTAGGCATCAGTGGCCAGTGTAATCCTAGCTACTTAGGAGGCTAAGATCTGAGGATCACAGTTCAAAGCCAGTCTGGGCAAGGAAGGTCGCAAGACTTTTATCTCTAATCATCAAAAAGCCAGAAGTAATGTTGTGGTTCAAGTGGTATAGCACTAGCCTTGAGCTAAAAAGCTTAGAGGCAGTGCCTATGCCCTGAGTTCAAGACCCAAGACTGGCACAATAATGATGATGATGATGATGATGATGATAACAATAATTCCAAATAATGTAGTACTAACACTGTTAGATGACTCATCCTGCCTCTTTGCTTTCTTTGGCTTCAATATCCTTTCCCATGAACTTTTACCAGGCAAAGATAATATCAAAGATAAATGACCTGAAACCTGTAGTATCCAGTAGAGTTGTTGAAATTCAAATGAATAATCATTTTTAAAAAATGCTTCCCTGGTACACACTAAAACCAAAGGCTGTGGTGCTGAACATTCCAGATTAAACTATGGGAGCTGGAATGTATGTTTTCCTGTGGGTGATGCTATCTTCCCCCTGTCTATTCTGGTGAATAATGATTATGTTAACATTTCAGGATGAAAAACGAAACAATGGAGAAAGATAACATTACAGATAGATGAATGTGTGTGTGCATTGTACATGGAGGGTTGTCTGTGTAGCTTTAGTTTGTGTTTTAATGTGCTGGCCACTTAAGACATGCCAAGCATTCTACTCCATATTGGTTACACAATGTCGAGTAAGATAAACCTGGCCTCTACCCTCTGAGACAACAGAATGTAAGACCTACGTCCCAAGGTGCAGAAAAGCTAACTACATCCACTTTCTTCAACAATACATGGTAATTTACTCATGATAACAGAGCGCACAAAATAAAGAAAATTAACCATTTCAGTTTGATATGTCTAATGTTTGTTTCCAAAGTGCATCTTTCAGTAAGAGATAAGAAAGAGTTAAGCATAGGAAAATAGTCATTCTTACTGAACAAATGCTTGGATTTTTACCCTGAAATAGAATAGCTACCAGGGACAACTCAATTTATAATTCAGAAACATTAGTAGGAAAAAAATGCTATTTGTTGAAGGTAAAAATAACATCTTGTAATTGAAGATAAAAAGTCAATATAATAAATTTTTCTCAACCAAAATTTTCATAAAAATTTATAAATCTAGATTTATGGACTGTCTCAGTTTATCAAATTTTAGACACTAGTTTGTTTACCCAAGAAGTATACTAAAGTACCATCCAAACTGGATTATTTTGGCACTATATATATTTTTTCTTCTATTTCTGTGTGTGTCTGTGTATGTGTGAGCCACGCATGCATGCCAGTACTGAGACTTGAACAGAGAAAATTATGTTCTCATTAGGCTTATTTGTTCATTGGCTGGTGCTCTACCATTTGAAGTTTACTGCCAGTGCAGCATTTTTGTTGGTTTATTAGAAGCATAGAGTTTTCCCCCTGGACTGTTTTTGAACCATGATTCTCTGAGCTGGGCCTCCTGAGTAACTGGAATTAATGAGTCTCAGGTATGAGCTATTTTTCTTTTCGCATTGCATATATATTCTGTTAGACATGGATAATTATATTCTTTGTACTTTTTTCAGAGTAGACATCTAATAAACATTTAGTGAATGGAGTAAAGGCCTAATTTATTAGGAGTAAAAATTCCTACTTATAGTCTGGTTTTCTATTCATTGTCTTACCAAAAATTATGAGTTATGAATTAACCATTTATTCTCAGTTCTCAACATGTATCTTCTAATTCACATACCTGCTGGTGTAAGTGTGCATACTCTCTTCTGATCTGGATCTATAAAAAAAATTAAAAGATAAACTTAACAACTTACCTACTTCATGAGTAAGAAGTTTAACTTTTTATAAAAGTACTTACTAATAAATGATGTCCAGATATCACTGAGTAAAGGTGCAAATACTAGTTTTATTTTCTCATATACCTCATCCTCAAAGAGTATAAATTTCAGACTTTTCAATAAGAAAAGCATCAAGAAATCCCAGATTTGTTTTTTTCTTTCTTCTTTTTCAGTACCTGGGTTTATACCCGGGCCTTAAATACAGCAAGAACTCTGACACTGAGATACTTCACAGGCCTGTGTCTTACCACTTCTAAACATGGGATATGTAACATTTGAACCTGAATGTCTGGCTCTGCTATAACCCAACTTGTAATTTTTCATTCCTTGTTCAAAATTGATTATGCCTTGTAAACTAAAACCTAGGCTGATTTCTAGACAAAACTTCCCTTTCTCACAGAAGAATGCTAGTTAAAGAATAAATCCCAAATATTATGCCAGGAGCTGGTGGCTCATGCCAGTAATTAGCTAGCTACTCAGGAGGCTGAGATCTGAGGATCGTGGTTCAAAGCCAGACCAGGCAAGAAAGTTCGTGAGACCCTTATCTCCAATAAAACCACCAGAAAACTGAGAGTAACACTGTGACTCAAGTGGTAGAGTGCTCAACTTAAGCTGAAGAGTTGAGGGACAGACAGCATCCAAGCCCAGAGTTCAAGCCCCACAACTGACAACAAAAAAAATAGTGTATGGTAGAGGCTAGCAATGAGGCTGAGTAACTGCAGAAGTAGCTAAGCTGTTCTGTACACAGAAAAAAACTAGAGCTCAGCCAAGTCTTAGCATAGGTCCCAGGACTTCAACTACACCTGGACTTCAACTCTCAACTACACCTGGAAGCGAAGCAAGGCCATGTCATCCATAAAGCCAAAATAATTTTTTAAATGCTGGATCAATGACCTTCAGAATGCAATGGGAAAGTGAGCAAAGTGTGTGCTTGCCAGGCATGGATCCATTAAGCCCCTGGAATATAGTTTCTGGGCCCAAGTTCACAGTCTCACAAGTTTGTAAACACATGCACAGCAATTGTTTTAAGTAATTTTGGCCTTAAGACAAATAAAAATGAAACAGCCTACATATATTTCTTGACCAGGTGAAATACCTAGAGTTTATGATAATAAATGACAACATTGGTGTTGATACTACAAGAAAATAATAAATTCACATATCAAGAATGATACATGATTTTAAAAGCCACTTCTGTGTATGAACACTTGTAATGACTACAGAGATACATACAGGAAGACAAGCCACAGCCTAACACAGGAAAGATGGATGAAGAATTGGAGAGTGACCTCACAAAATCAAACTGAATGTGAGATACAAAGTTTAAAATAACATGTGAAAATATAGTCACAAATGTAAAGGTGTACTTTCATGTATTGCCAAGATGAAGAATCAGACCAGATTTCTCCCTCTCCTGCCTGGAACCAATGAAAACCCAGACTAAAAATATGAAACAATGTTTTTCAGTCCTTTGATATTATTTTTGAAATTTTTTATTGTGATTAAGTGGTTAAATAATTTCCCAAACTTCACAGTATTGTGTGATAGTGATGCTTAGTTAAAGTCACAAACACATTCTAACTTTCATGGGGCAAATTTTCTGTCATAGTCTATAACATTTATGAGTTCTATGAACTTTGCAATACAGTGATTTCTTCCACATTGGGTGATATGTACATTTCTTTTGTTTTGCGTAGCATCAGCTGTTCCCTCTTTCCCATTTGTTCCCTCCCTCCCATCGCTGCCATTGAGTTGCTTAGTTCATTTTGATCAATGTCCAGTGCAGCTGATGGGTCCCGCTGTTGTATGTTTTTCCCTGATTCCCTCTAGTTCTGTGTCGTCCTCCTGGTTTCCCTCCAGTGTGCACATATATACCATATATGTGATCAGCAGCATGGGGTTATTTAGTAATGATTCAACTAGATGAGTGGAAGTCCTTTGTTTCTTAAGTCTTGTTAATTTTGTCATATCACCTTGCATTTTGGATTTAACATCCACTTATCAGGGAGACCATGTACCGTTTGTCTCTTTGTACTTGGCTTGCATGGCTCAACATGATTTCTTCTAGCTCCATCCATTTCCCTGCAAATGCCATTATTTTGTCCTCTCTAATGGCTGCATAATATTCCATTGTGTATAGATACCACAATTTTTTGATCCATTCATCTGTGGTGGGACATCTGTGTCGTTTCCATATCCTAGCTATTGTGAACAGTGCTGCAATAAACATGGAGGAGATGCATGTGTCCTTGTTGTTCAGGATAAATGCCTAGAAGTGGTATGACTGGGCCATAAGGGAGGTCAGTATTTAGCTTTCTGAGGATCCTCCAGACAGCTTTCCAAAGTGGATGCATAAGTGTACATTCCCACCAGCAGTGTAATAGGTTTCCTCTTTCTCCACATCCCCTCCAGCATTTGTCGTTGGCTGATTTGAGGATGTGGGACATTCTGACTGGGGTAAGGTGGTATCTCAGGGTTGTCTTTATTTGCATTTCCTTCACAACCAGGGATGTGAACATTTCCTCATGTGTTTCTTTGCCATTTTTATCTCTTCTTCTGAGAAGTCTCTCTTTAGTTCCCTTGCCCATTTAGTAATTGGTTTGTTAGGTTTGGGAGGGATTAGTTTCTTGAGTTCCCTGTATATACTGGATATTAACCCCTTGTCTGATATACTGCTGGTAAATATTTTTTCCAATTAGTTGGTTGTCTTTCTAGCTTGGTTGCTATAGCTTTAGCTGTGCAGAAACTTTTTATTTTAAGGTAGTCCCATTTGTCAAGTCTCTCTCCAATTTGTTGTGACCCTAGGACTCTGTTCTGGAAGTTCCTGCCTGTGCCTATAAGTTCAAGTGTCTCTCCTACTCTGTCCTGCAGTAGTTTCAGAGATTCGGGTTTGATGTTAAGGTCTTTAATCCATTTTGAGTTGGTGCATGGTGATAAGCTGGGGTCCACTTTTAGTTTTCTGCACGTGTGGCTGCCCAGTTTTCCCAGCACCAGTTGTTGAAAAGGCTGTGTTTCTTCCACTGTATGTCTTTGGCTCCTTTGTCAAATATCAGCTGACTGTAGGCATGTGGTTTTATTTCTGGATCTTCTATTCTATTCCATTGGTCATTGGGTCTGTTTTTGTGCCAGTACCAAGCTGTCTTTGTTATTATGGCTCTATAGTAGAGTTTGAAGTCTGACATCGAGATCCCTCCCATGTTTTCTTTTTTTGCCTAGAATTATTTTGGCTATTCTAGGTCTTTTGTTGTTCCATATGAATTTTTGGACTGTTTTCTGTATTTCAGAAATGTACATCATTGGGATTTTGATAGGAATTGCACTGAATTTGTATATTAATTTTGGCAGTATTGCCATTTCCACTATATTAAGTCTGCCTATCCAAGAGCATGGAAGGTCTTTCTATTTCCTGGTGTCTTCTGTCATTTCTTTCTTTAAGTTTTTATAGTTTTTTATGTCTTTGGTTAGGTTAATTCCTAAATATTGTATTTTTTGGGGGGGTGCTATTGTGAATGGGTTGCTTCCTTTATTTCCCTCTCTGCTTGTACATTGCCGGTGTACAGGAAGGCGACTGATTTTTGTGGGTTGATTTTGTATCCTGCTACATTGCTGAAGTGATTTATAATTTCTAAGAGTTTGAGGATGGAGTTTTTGGGATCATGAAGGTATAGTATCATGTGACCTGCACAAAAGGATAGTTTAACTTCTTTTTTCCCTATGTGGATCCCTTTAATGTCTTTTTCTTGCCTTATTGCCCTGGCTAACGGTTCTAGGACTATATTGAACAGGAGTGGAGACAGTGGGCATCCTTGCCTGATTCCTGATTTTAGGAGAATTGGTTGCAGTTTTTCCTCATTAAGTATAATATTGGTTATTGGTCTGTCATATATGGCTTTTATTGTTTTAAGGAATGTTCCTTCTACTTCTATTTTCTCCAGAGCTTTTAACATGAATGAATGTTGTATTTTATCAAAAGCTTTTTCTGCATCTATGGAGATAATCATGTGATTCTTTTTTTTCTTGCTATTGTTTCAAACATATTTATTTATTAATTTATTTTTTATTGTGAAAATACTGTACAGAGGGGTTCCAATTACATGGGCAAGAATTATGTGATTCTTGACCTTGGCTCTGTTGATGTGTTGGATTACATTTATTGATTTACGTATGTTAAACCATCCTTGCATCTCTGGGATGAAGCCTACCTGGTTGTAGTGTACAAATTTTTTAATGTGTTTCTGGATTCTGTTAGCTAGAATTTTGTTAAGGATCTTTGCATCAGTGTTCATCAAGGAGATTGGTCTGTAGTTCTCTTTTTTGGCTGGGTTTTTGCCTGGTTTGGGTATGAGTGTGATATTGGCATTGTAGAATGAGTTTGGGATAGCTCCCTCCTCTATGTCTCTGAAGAGCTTGAGGAGTATGGGTATTAGTTCTTCTTCAAAAGTCTTATACAATTCTGTTGTGAATCCATTTGGTCCTGGGCTTTTCCTTGTTGGAAGACTTCTGATTACTTCCTGTATCTCGTTGTAAAATATTGGTTTATGTAATTGATTTACTACTTCTTTGCTCAATTTGGGCAACTTGTATTTCTCTAATAATGCATCCATTTCTGCTAGGTTTTCTTTCTTTAGAGAGTATAACTTTTGAAAATAGTTCTTTATAATTGTTTGGATATCTTGGGTACTTGTGACTTTTCCCGTGGCATCCCTGATCTTATAAATTTGGGTTTCCTCTCTTCTTTTCTTAATCTTGCCAAACGTATATCAATTTTATTTATTTTTTCAAAGAACTAGCTTGTTATTAATTTTATTTATAATTTTCCTATTCTCTATCAAATTAATATCTGCTCTTAATTTGATTATCTAGCTCTGTCTAGTAACTTTAGGTTCCATTTTTTCATGTTTTTCTAGCTGTTTTAATTGAAACATGAGATTATTTACTT